GATCAAACAGAATGGACATATATGAAGTTACCTCTTCATACATTGCATCAAACAACAATCTAGCATGCAGTGCTACCAAATCTGCAACATTCACACAATGTGCAACATGTTCTTCCTTTAGCTAGACCCATTTTTCCTCAATCTCACCAGCTTGGGAACTCTTGATTAGATTGACTTTTTCCTTCAGCATATCTTATGTCTCCTGAGTACTGAATGAATACTTTTCCTTATTGAAAGATCTTACCAGGCAAGGATATTTGGACTAAAAATCCTTTGTCTCATTCTTGGTTTTGCCATTAATCACATCTTTCACAGAAGCCTGGTTGAGATTTTCATTAACAGCTGACTGCTGTTTTTTCCTTGGAAGCAGAGTGGTTTCTTTACCCTTAGCAGCAGTGTGGCTGTCTTTTGCATCAGAGGAAAAATGGTTGTCCTTGTCTTTAGCAGTAGTCCAACTGTCTTTTGCATTAGTGTGTGTGTGTAGTAAAATCTTACTGTCGCTATCGATAATTGTCTTGGAAAAGTATCATTCATTTTTATAAATGTACAATTAATCTCGACGTGTGGCTAAAACTCCAATGCATCTCACACAAAATCCATATTGATAATCGCAATAGTATACAAGTATACAACACATACAATATACTCAATTAACCTGCTCATGAAATAAATTGTCAAATACCTTTAGAGTCTAAGGATAGATGATTTAAATCTGGGCCCAAGCCACCTACGTAGTGGGCCGAGGCCATCATCCAAACCTAGGTCATCCCAAATTTATGTATCAAATAAAGTTATACTGGTAGGATTTAAATATCCTTTTAAGGTAAATAAAATTTACCGTATTGCATTTTAAATTTCCAGTAAAATTTATTTGGTACAAAAATTGTACATTATTAATTTGTCACTTCTTAGTAGTTGATAGTGTACTCTTTTCTTTTTAGTACATCAATCAACTTTTGACATGATTACTAAAAACAGGAACACGAACCATACAAGAGTTTAGTACAGTGACATCATCAAAATCTATCAAAATTGGGTACTAACAGAATTCCTTTCTAGAATCGCTTTCAACCAACTTCAAACTCAATAGGGAATTGTAAGTTGTATACTACGTCGTTTATTTAGGACATAATATCATCTTTATAGGTAAACCCTCCCAACTTTTCCGGTAGCTTCTTCATTATGTGCCATAGATACCATTGGTGCCACGTATTTAGAAAAACAATTTGAATGGTGTTTTGCATGGCGCGATCTTGGTTAGTAATTTTTCCGTTCGGGGAACAATTGTTCATACATTCAAGCCAAGATCTAAAAAGCCACACAAACGTTTGTGTGTCTTCACTTGAGGTTAGGCCACAATCAAGCAAGATTGCTTTACCACGGTGATTAACTCCAACAAATGGGGTAAATGGCCTATCATATCGATTTGTAAGATATGTTGTGTCAAAAGTTATGACATCACCAAAGTCTTTGTAGGCATATCGACATCGATTGTCCGCCCAAAACACATTCTGTAACCTTGACTCCTCATCCAAATCAATCATGAAGAAGAAACCGGGGCATTGTGCTTGCATCCTGCAAAAGAAGTCTTGAATTTCCATTGCATCATCACTTCCTAGTCTAAGTTGGCAGACCTTATCTATGTAGTTCCTACAATCCCCGGCCTTTTCAATAAATGGAAGTTCTTCATATTCATCGGCTTCCACAACGGCAGAGTTAAACTCTTATGAGTTGATATTCCCACAACATCATTAATGTAAGGTTTCTCATCATGTGCGGTGTCAACTTTCTATTATACCAAAATTTCCTTGCCTTCGCAGGACTCATATCATGATTATGATCTAAACAGATATTTGAAATGACCCATCCTCCGACATAATTCGTATGTGTTCTTATTCTTGCAAGGCAATCGACTTGCATTGAAGGTTGAGGCTTCAAAACATTTTGTGACCGGCTGGTCCTACTTCCAGCAAGTGCACACTCTAAGACAATCACAATGATGTCTCCTGATTTGTATTTACTTGAAGTTCATTGTCTAATAGGAAAGACCACTCTTCTACCATAAGCCTTATCAAAATCATAAACTGCCTCTTTGCTAAGAAACTCCATACCAACATTAGGGTCTTTATTACTACTATTTTCTTCCTCTTAGTCTGTTATTCCAAACAAAAATATACGTTCATAACAATTTACCACAACACATAACATGTTGTCTGTCGAGATAGACAATAGCATGCACAATTTTTTTTCATCACATTCTTGTGTACATTCACAAATACAACCACATGTCCAACACGTATACACACTTTTACATAACAACTACATTAACTATCAAAACAACTACAAAACACTCTTGTACCGATACTTGCATGTCCATGCAGACATTATTTCTATGTAGACAAACAAATGACGTTGTCTGTCAGACGAATTCTTTATATATGGGTCAAACAACTATGAAACTATGTTTCAGTGGACAGACATTGCACTTATAAGTTCTCTGTTAGAAAGAAAACTCTTTTCATATCCAAAATACACAAAAAAGATCAAGAAAAAATAACCAATACAACAACACCTACTCAAGCCTTCGACGTTTGCACCATGTTCATCATCCTCCCTTAACCTTGCATCCAGTTCAATGGCAACCGGCGTACGAGCATCGTCTGCACCTTCATCAGCTAACTCTCCAAAAGTCAAGCTATCCAAGAGTAAGTCATCAACCCATTGGGATGCATCATTCCCGTTTAGCTCCATTGAAGAAGAGTTTCAACGGAGAAGATGATGGAAATCAGTCTCCCGTCGTTTGGTTGGGCCACTGTAGCCCGATCATTTCTTCCGAAATGTTTTTGGCAGAAGAAGTTGAGCGTGGGGGGGGGGGGGGGGGGGGGGGAGGAGAGGGTATGACCCACTAAATATGAAACAAAATCTGTGTATGAAACGTAGAGCAATTGCACAAACTAGCTACGCTCAATCATCACTAACAGTCAACAAAATTCAAAAGCAAATCATATCCAATAGTTTTATCCAAACATACTGAAATTTTTTCATAACAAAATACACAAAACTCCAAACAATATCCTAAGCTTCAAGCTTGCATCTTTCTGAAGGACCATATAAGGGTATTTGTTTGAATATGGGTACACCAGTCAGTTATTTTAGGTTTTTAGCTATGTATGTATTATGGAAATACAGAGTATATATTAGGTTTATGGAGTATATTGTACGAAGTATATATTAATAATTCTAAACAGGTAGGGGTCTTTAATGGGTTGGAATCATGTGTACCATACCCGACCCATTTATAAAAATACTAACGGTCCGGGTTCGGGTCTGGGTAAACGGAATAAAACATAAACCCATTCCCGTTTAAAAAACTCGGGTCTGGGTCTACACCCGGCCCATTGACATACACCTAGCAAAGATGTATCATTATTAAATTAAAAAAATAAAATAAAAAGTTGAGCTTCCAATGTTGTTCCATGCCTTGGACTCTATTTGCAAAAAAAAACACTTTTTTTGGAAAAAAGTGATTAGTAGTAAAAGTTGGTAGTGTGTGGTAAAATAAGGCGGTGTTTGGAACTGATTCTGCTTCAGCTTCAGAATCAGAATCAGAATCAGAATCAATTTTCAAAAGCTGGTCTCCACCATCTTCTAAAAAAACTGATTCTAGGAGTAAATTAGAGCATCAGAATCACTTATGCACTTTCACCCAAATACTCCAGCTTCTATTTCTGCTCCCTGAAGGAGTAGAAGCAGATTTAAGAATCAGATCCAAACACCCCCTAAGGCTTTGTTTGCAACAATTTGTGCTTAAATAAAAGCACTTTTTGGGAAAAAGTGATTAGTAGTAAAAGTTGGTAGTGTTTTGTAAAATAAGTGCTTTTTGTGTAATAGAAAAAATAAAAAGTAGATTCTACACGAAAACCGAGAAAGTAAAAGTTGGTAGTGTTTGGTAAAAAAAGTGCTTTTTTCTTTAAAAAAAAGCAAAAATCACTTTTCTTAAGTGATTGCAAACAAGCCCTAAGGCCATCTCCAACACACCACCAAATCACACACCAAAATGATGTATTTGCCAAAAACTTGCTCCAACAATGACACCATTCTCCACACCATTACACTATTTTGGGGGAGAGGAGATGGCTTTACGCCATATATGGCGTACGCCATATATGGCGTACGCCATATATGGCGTACGCCATATCTAACACTATCCACCTTTTTTAATTTCTTTTCCTTTTAGATGTGACCTTCAAGTTTTAATGATTATAGTTTTGACCCATTTTTAAAACAACAAATTAGAATGTTTTACTTGGACTGAAATTGGTTTGTCCGCTCTGGTCTGGTCTGATTTGATCTAGTCTGATCTGAAATGATGTGGTCTGGTCTGATTTCTTTGTATTTTTGTAACTACTCAAGTGTGGTCTAATCAGGTCTGATCTGATCCCGAGACAAATTACAGTCCAAGTAATTAAAAACATCCTTATAGAACAACAAATTAAAATTATTAATTTGATAGAAAAAAATATAATAAAATTTAAACCACACAATATTATAAATAAAGTTTCAAATCCAAACAACATTATAATAGAATACAAATGGTACTTAAGAAAATAGCATAATTAAAATTACAATTAATAACACCATTATAATTAAAATTAAAACATAATTAAAAACATACATGGTACATACTAATTTAGAAATGTCAAAATAATTAAATTAGGGGCTAATGCATAAATATATGATAGTTAGATACTTAAATAGAAGAATGGTAAAAAGTTAGTAAAAAGAACAAAAGAGAATATTCCTTTTTGGTGATGAAAATGGTGTAAACTGTTGGAGATAAAATACTGTTTGATGTGATGTTTACATCATTTTAGTGTAAAAAATGGTGTTAACTATTGGAGATGACCTAAGTGTTTTTGTATAATAAAAAATGTAAAAAGTAGATTTTACACGAAAGCCGTAAAAGTAAAAATTGGTAATGTTTTATAAAATAAGTAATTATTTTTGAGTGTTTGCAAAAGAGCCTTGAACCCAAGCACAAATCCTTTCTGAAGCCACTGGCTGGAAATCTGGAATTCCGTCCTCACCGTCCTTGCTTGCTTATCTAAATCGCAGTAATCGTCTTAGCAACACATCTGCGCAGCCCGACATGGCCAAACGGGCGTTAGCATCCTGCCTTTCTCGTGCTCTGTCATCGCCGTCAATTGTTTCTCGCTTTCGCTTCGTCGTCCCTGTTCTTCTTCATCACAATCTTCAGCTTCAGGCCCAGCACTTAGGCCAGACCCGCTTCAAGACATCCGGTCCCGGTTATTCTCCCTTGAATGACCCATCACCGAACTGGACCAACCGCCCCCCTAAAGAGACGATTCTACTGGACGGATGCGACTACGAACATTGGCTAATCGTTCTGGAGTTCCCCGACCCGAAACCGTCCGAGGAAGAGATGGTCAATAGTTATGTTAAAACCCTAGCTTCTGTTGTTGGGAGGTATCTGCATTATTTCCCTTGTATTTCAATTGTTTCATTATTACTTTTCCCACTAAAAAATGGGTATACGTTGACGTAAGCACCCTTTCATTTCACTTCTTCAGATGAACTGTTATAGGAATGACAATCTGGAACTGTTTTTCTGGAAGTACTTCTCCCATTTAGCAGTTTTTTCAAATTGAATTCCTACATGTACTTGATTCTGATAGCAATAATAGTTGCATATGTTTCTGCCTTACTGGAATTGTATAATACTATAATTTGAGCTTGTAGATGTGTGCGCTTTTGTTTAACAAAAGTTCTTCTTGTCTGTGAGCAGGATGGTGTGTACAAAAAAGGGTGTACAAATAGTTTGTTTCTTTGATTAAACACATTTTCCATCTGTATTGTATTTGTGTCAGTGCATTGATATACTGTGGTTCTGCCACCTTTTTTGCTGATTGTTTTGTACTAAGTACCTGAGGTAGTAGTCAATTGCGTAAATGGCGATCGCCATTTCTCGCCATTGGCGATTCAGGGGGTCTTCGCCACAAATTTTGGCTATGGCGCAGGGGTTACCTGTTGCGTTGCCAAATGTGCGCTATCGCCTCACTCTCGCCATTTTGCGCCAAATAATGGCGCTATCGCACGCGTCTGGGTCGCGACTTCGGTTTGATGGTCGCAGTCGCTGTAGGTGGTTGCCGTCGTAGTCACTGTACCTGGTCGCCGTCGCAGTCGCTGTACCTGGTCGCCGTCGCTGTAGCTGGTCGCGTGGCTGTTGATTGTTGCTGAAATTGGTCGCCGACTCTAATCGCTTGTCATCCACGCAGACTGCTTGCTTCGTGGTTTTAGTTCTTCTCCTTTTGAGATTGAAGTCTGGCAAAATTACTTAAAAGCCTTTCTCTAAAACCCGTTCTCTTTTTTTGGTAAAGTTAAAAGCAGACAAGCAGTTCTCTATTTCTCTTTGTTTTTCACATGCTCTCATTTTTTGTGTGCCAGTTGACTGGAAGGTTGGACCATATCAGTTATTTAATTTAATTTGGAATATTTTTTGGTGCTATTTTGACAATTTAAAAATTTAACTCTTTAATTGGTGTATAAGTCATACACGTATATTGTGTATAGGTAATGTTTAAATTTTTTTGATGTTGTGTTTTACTGGTGCGCCATTTTAACGCCATTTTAGCGCCATCGCCATCGCCGTGTGAATTTACCCCTGCGCCATGCCGGTCGCCGTGCGCCGTGACTACTACTGTACCTCATGATCTAGTTTTAGCACTAAAACTAGCTTTGTTCGGATTATAGTCCAAAGGGTGCTACATTGTAAATTCAAAAAACTAATCAAATTTTCTTCCATTTTAAACGGGAAAAAGCCTTTCACTTAATTCAACATTGTATACTATGTTAATATTCAAAAATTCAATAATGAGTTTAAACAAATTTTTATATTTTGTTATCTTCAACATGCCCTTACACTGGATTGAATATTTTTTAATGAGTCAAGAGCATGCATGCCCTCTGACGGTGGGATGCATATTTAGTCTACTAATTATTTATTATTGATAAACTTGATTCCATTCAACAAGATTCTATTTATGTATTTCCACCTTTTTAGAATTTCTTTTAACCTGAATGCGATTACAAAAATAATAAATATGAAGTATCAATTATAGGAAGGATGCCTATACGAGGGAAATGAAACAGGAAGGTATAAAACTCAAAGTGCTGATAACGGAAATTCCAGAAGATGTGAATTTAATAGTACTTGAGTAGTATTAATAACTGAAATTCTGTTTCCTTTCTTCCAATTACAAAAATTACATAGGTAGTGTTCTTGGTGATCCAGTATTCCAGTTCAATAGAGGAGGTGTACTACTCTCTGGTTCTCTTGATTTTGTTGTGTGTTATTTGTGCCTCCCATGCTTGTATTGGTATAACATGGAGAAGAAACCATTAATGGAAAAGGAAGTGACAGCTGGCAAGAAAAGAGAGCTTCAGCAAGAATGGGCAACATGCAACGGGTTTTGCTAATTTTTTCCATGGACAAGCAGCCTTTGAGGCAAATGAAATCCATCTGAGAAGGTTTATGGTGAATATAGAATATTGCACAGAAAAGTGAAACTCACAAAGGGACCGCTTGGATCTCTGAAAATGTTAGTTTGAAAGAAACTAGAGAAGAAAATATAAGAGATATTTGAAAGGAAATAGAATCTTGGGTTAAATAAAACATTTTTCAGAACTTGAAACTAAATAAATTTACTCCGTATTTTTTATATTTGTTCAAACATATTATATTTATCTATTTCTGTTACATAAAAGACACAGAAATCCAGACATGTGTAAAAATTATAATAAATCATACTCAGTATTTCATTTTCCTTCGCATTTCCTTGGCAAATCAAACAGCACAGTAGACACAAATGTAGTAAAAGATAGCGTTTTTGTTTTACTTTTATCTAAAGATTAACAATGTTTTATTGGACAGCTAGTGAACTTTTATGTTTGTAAAAAGAAGAACATATATACATGTGTGTGTGTGTGTGTTGAATTCTATATGTGATGTTTAGTGGTTTTTGTGCAGTGAAGAGGAGGCCAAGAAAAAGATTTACTCTGTTTGTACGACAACTTACACTGGCTTTGGCGCTTTGATTTCTGAAGAGCTATCATACAAAGTGAAAGGTGTGTATAACTTCTCAGAGGAGCTACAAATTCTTTTTTTTTTCTGGGTTTCAAATTTAATTTGCCATTTTTTCATATAATATTTCATATTATCTTCAACATATTTGTATTTATTTAAATGTGTTCATATCATAACGAATTATAGGTGTGTTGATCTGTTTCATTTATAACTCGCTGTTGTGAGTTCTTAACCTTTAATTATCAATGTTGGAGTTCTGCCTTAATTTCATTATCCTAGCCTCCTGAACACCTTTAACCGGCTAAGGGTGTTTTAGTTGGACTGATTTCAGCCCCAGATCACCAGATCAGACCTCGATAATAGATATCAGATCACACGTAAAATAGATATCAACCAGACCAGTTCATACCAGACCAAACTTAAATAGACTAGATCAGATCAGAAAATTTCAATCTAATTAAAACATCCTGCGAGTATAATACTGTTTGATCTGTTTTCTTGGATCTGACTTTACTCATAGCTGTTTACGTGGCATGTTAATTCGTTAAAGCAATTATTCAAGGATGTCCATTATCTAGGAATGCATGTATTCTACATGGAATTAGATATATATTTTATACTGATTACATTTATTAATGACTGATCCTGCTTTTGCTTGTGTCAATTAGGACTACCTGGTGTCTTGTGGGTCTTGCCAGATTCATATCTTGATGTTCCTAATAAGGATTATGGAGGTTTGATTTCTCAGAATGACAGTAATTCAATTCGCCTATCATCTACCTTATTGCTTTAATGGGTTCCTAACTTCTTATTATTTAGGAGATCTATTTGTGGATGGAAAAGTCATTCATCGGCCACAGTACAGATTCACTGAGAGGCAAAACAATAACCGGCCTCGACCAAGATATGATAGGCGTCGAGAAACAATGCAGGTCAATAGGAGGGCAGAACCTGTACAAGGAAATAATACATGGGCATCAAACCAGCAAGCTCCTGCACAGCATTCGACACCTGTGAGTGAGTCAAGTGGTGGACAATCCAGCGGTCCGACTCAAGGTCGACCTCATGAGAGTAATGTCTGAAATTATGTATGTTCTGTTTTTATTATTCGACCAAAAACCAAAAACTAAAACTTTTTTTGCTCCTCTATATATTGGCATTTATGTTTCTTGAAATACGGTAACTAGTGACCTCAACTTCCTTATTGGCATTGCCAATTTTATGTATTTAGCTGTAACTTGCTATAAGACATACCCTGTCATTTGAATATCCCTTTCGGATATCCTGTAACCAAACGGGGTGACTTTTTTAATCAGGAAAATAGGTTTTTTTTTTCCAACTTAAGGGACACATTGATAGGGACATGGACCTCCAAGATTAATAATAATAGTAGAATTAGACTAAGGGGTGTGATATTGTATAAATAAGGGTTTGGGCTAGGTGGTAGTTAGCTTGGGCCGGCCCATAAGGGAATTTATTATAAATAAGAGGGGAGTAGAATAAGGAAGGGAGGCAGATTTTGGGATTTTGGAATAGGACTGGGAGAGACGAGGCACTCTCGAATTTGCCTCAACTGTATGTGCTACTGTATCGTTACTTTCCCGTTTCTTCAATTTCAGTTTTCTTATTCAACAATTCATCGCCAGATTTTGTGTGTACCTATCATTGGTAATTTGGTATCAGAGCACTCCATCCTGGAGTCTTAATCGATCCCACAATCTCGATAGCCGAAGAGGAGAGTTAGTTCATCGCGTAGAATGATGATAAACGAACGAACAAAGATGGCTGGCCCTCAAATGAAGAAGCGCAGGGAACATCATCGACGGTCAGAACTTGGCGCCTCTGGTTTGCTCGTGAACACTGAGCAGCGTGTGCCTACTCAAGGCGGAAAGGAACTGCGCAGGGAGCATGGAAGAGCCGATCTGGATACTTCATGCGGAAAAGGGGAGAAGCTGGCGGAAAAGGTTGAAAGTGATTGGACTAAGGAGATGCGCCATATGTTTGGCAAAATTCGTCACAGACTCAAGTGACATAGAGACCGAGCCAGGAGCCCTCCTAGACACCGTCGGCCGATTGAAAATAAATCTCAGATTTCATCGCAAACAGATTTCCCTGGTTTGCAGATTTCATCGCATGTGTCCGCTTCTCACAGTGACCAAGTTGAGTCAGCGTCCATTCATCAGCCGCACGTGAGTCAGCGACAACTTCCCTCCAAAGGTGCGTTCATCGATGGTGATGAGGGAGGTGACGAGAAAACTTATGTGGGAACTCAATCCTCTACTTCCAGGGAATATGAGCCTGACAAAATTGCTGATTCTGAATTGGAGAACCAAGTGGTTTCTGACTCAAAATTGCTGATGACAAAACATGAGTGTGATTACCTGCGGCAACCTTCCTCTGCTGAAAGGAGTGCTTCTCAATTTGGAGAAAATGTAGAGAAGTTCACTGAAGGCAAGAGCTAAAATGAGGAGAAACTGTTAATGGTCGATGGACCTGAAATCGGCGCAACGGCAGTTCCTGTTTCTCTTGGATGCCCAGCTTCTGATGCTTCCAAAGATTCTATGGATTTTTTCAACTCGGTTTATGGTAGAGTTCTGCCTGTCACTTCTCAAAATGTTAACAATCCTAATGCTTCACAAGGACCTGGTCAAAATCTTCACCACATTGTTGAGAATAGGCTACAGCCACACATAAAGGGTGCAGGAGTGCAAAATATGAGGCTGTTTGGAGGTTGTTTGAACGTGTCTCTGCTAGTCAATTTGGAAGGCCACAAGGCGGGAAATCAGTGTGATAGCGTTGTTAACTTACAACTATCATCTGGAGGTAAAAGGTTTCTTGTTATTCTGTTGAGTTGTTTGGCTAATGTCTATGGTGGGAGTGAAATTGGATTTGAAGAAGTTTTAGGGATACCTAAACTTGATGGGTCATCTGGGCTTACAAATTTGAAAGGCATTGATAAAGTAGAGTCAGTAGACCTTAAGCTTCCCGGATCATTGGGAGATATTATTACACTATCAATTGTTTGTGATATGAAAAGCAGTGAACTCAATTACTTTTTCATACTGACAAACCCCAGAGAGTTGCATTTTGATAAAACATTTGCTGGTCTACTGGGAAACCTGAGCAAGAGAACAATCATTATGATCTCCAGAGTGACATCATACCTCATTCTGAAGAGAATCTGGTTAAACCGGGTTGGGGACAGCTTTGTTCAAAAGGGGTGATGACGGGTCAAGGAATGAAGATCATTGTCCAGAAATCCGGAATGTATTGGGAAGGAAGATGTGCCAGGATGAAGATGAAGTTCAAGATCAAGATTGTGTCCTATCACCCACCTTGAGGACAAGGTGGTTGTTCAAGGGGGGAGATATGATAGGGACATGGACCTCCAAGATTAATAATAATAGTAGAATTAGACTAAGGGGTGTGATATTGTATAAATAAGGGTTTGGGCTAGGTGGTAGTTAGCTTGGGCCGGCCCATAAGGGAATTTGTTATAAATAAGAGGGGAGTAGAATAAGGAAGGGAGGCAGATTTTGGGATTTGGGAATAGGACTGGGAGAGACGAAGCACTCTCGAATTTGCCTCAACTGTATGTGCAACTGTATCGTTACTTTCCCGTTTCTTCAATTTCAGTTTTCTTATTCAACAATTCATCGCCAGATTGTGTACCTATCACACATTCCCTTAATGGTTAGGAACCAGTCATGGCCTATATGTGTAAACTGGCAACCGTGCAAAGAAGCTCTTAAAGCTTGTCGCCTCTTTGATCATTGATGTTCACATGCAAAATAAAATATAAAATTGAGATTGCCCTCAAGGTGATTTGTCCCTTGAATGCCTTCAATGCTAAAACAAAGTAGTCAAAATTATTAGAACGTATTAATTTGCAATACATTTACAAATAAAACAAATTTTTATTTGCAATATATGTACAAATAGACACGTACATACATACAAATATCTGTGCATGTGTATAATTTTTTTTGTATAACTTTGCATCCTATTTATTGATTTGTTTCAATATGAAATATCTATTTTAAAGTATATTGAATTGTATGTGTAGCAATTTTTGAAGCAAAATAAGCTTATGATTTTTGTCATTTTGGCACCTCAGTAGATTAAGGGTGTTTGGAATTGATTCTGCATTTGCTTCTTTTTTAAAACTAGTACCATAATCAAAACTAGATTTTCGGAAGTTGATGTCTCTCAACTTAAAAAAAAAATTGCTTCTAAAAAACTGGACCCAGAAGTAGTCATGGACCCGGGCCGGTTCCGGGCCCGGCCGGGCTTTTTTTGGGAAGGATGAACCGGGACCGGCCCAGGTAGCCACCGGGTCCGGGTTGGGCCGGGCCTCGGGTCATTTTTTCCCCTTTTCCTAATTAACCCCCCCCCCCCCCACCCCAACCCCCAAACCACCCTAAATGACCCAAAATACCCAACCCAACCTGAAAAGTTAAAAAAAATTGAAGAAAAAAAAATTAAAAGCCTGGAACCGGGTCCGAACCGGCCGGCTCGGTTCGTCTTTTGGGTGACCCGAGCCCGCACTAGGAACCCCTCGGGCCGGGACTACCCAGACCGGTCACTGACCGGGCCACCGGGCTGGTTCAACACAGTACCGGTCCCGAGCCGGTTCTGGGTCGGGCCACCCGGCCCGAGTCCAACACTACCCCTAAATTGATTTAAAATTAAATATGATTTAACCTTATGTGAAGTATACTTATTTAAATTTTAAGTTTGTGTTACAACATTTTTTTTATGATAAATAATTATCTCATTACTCAATCAATGGGTTCATCATCAAACTCTCCACATGTCTTAGGAGATGTTTACTTCGCTGCTAAAGTTACAATTATGTTAGTAAGACAGATGAAGTAAATACGCAAGCTGTTTAAAAAACTGCTTACTAACCGAAATTGTTGCTTAAAGTGCCGCTTACTAAGTATATCACCCTCCATGTATTAATTAACCGACACTATAAACTTTTTCAATTGCTAAATTTACTCTTACCTCATGCCCTTACTTACCCTATTGTTACCCTTCTACCCCCTCTACCCTACCCTACTTAATTTATTCTACAAGCAATTGTAATTCTAGCGGCCGTTCTAGGTTACAAGAGATATCAGTTAAATTATTCAAACACAAATTAAACGGCATTCATGCAATTAAACCGACAAGAATCTAGCCATACATCATGATTAACCCCTTCATCAACCTCAAATCCCTAATTAAACTACTCACAACTCATAATTGAAGAATCAATAGAATTGGGATGAATAAAAATAATTGTCATTAATTAAAAAGAATGAACTTACAAATAATATCAGGGTCTTGGAGTAAACAATGATAAAAACGCAAGTAAATTCGTTCCTAGGCCTCTCCGTAATGTTCGTAACCCTTAAACAGAAGAATGGAGGACTCATTTAAAGAAAACAGATGCGTTTGGGCTGAACTGGGACAAAAATGGGATCAGGCACGGCGTGCCTAAGGGCCAGGAACGACCGTGCCTGCGGAGCAAGACCGTAATTCACGTTTCGGGTCCAGGCACGGCGTGCCTGAACATTCCAGGCACTTGGTACATGCTTCTTCTCTAGGCACGACGTGCCTCCCTGGGCACGACCTTGTCTTACCCTCCGAATTTGACAAAACTTCCTTCATGAAAGTTGTAGATAATGAAGTCATCTATCCACCACAACTTGTAGAATTGGATTTATATCATCCAATCAAAAGATATGAATAAAATGGTGGAAGGTTGCATTCTGAAATCTCAACAGCGATCATCTGACTTCATTGTCTGTTTTCACCTTTCTCCTCTCAGATTCTCGGAATGTGGTACTCATATTATTTGTAGCCCTTGAAGTTGGCTTTCATATGGAACTTGAATCGTGTCCTTTGAATGTTTCTACAAAAAGTTATGCTTGAATGATTGACAGGTCATTCTGATCGCCGTTTTCAAGCTCTATTCGTCTTCTTTCGACCCATAGGCAATCCTAGAGCTCTTTTGCCTTCAAATCTTCATTGTGAACCTCCCGGTGACCTCCAAAGCTCTCAAATCAATCTCAAATGCTTCTCAAATTGTCCCGATTGCTTTTCAAACGCCGGTGTCGGGCTCAAATTCCTTAATTTTGACTCCAAACGACACAAAACTCGAACCAACGCCCGGTAAACATAACTTGAGCTAAAATTGAGACTTGCAACGACTTAAAGCTAGGAAAATCATCAAAAGCTGATCCCAACACGCATCAAATGCGTGTCGAAATATGGACTTATCAGATTCCCCCACACTTAAGCTTTTGCTTGTCCTCAAGCAAGCTGAACAA